TCCAGAATTGGGAACATCTCCATGCAACAGGAAAAGAACATGGTGGCACACACATCAGCTAGACATGCTTTTACTTCTAATTCTTGTGTTTTGAGGGTAATCCCCGTAGCTTTATTGTCCCGGCTGTAATGAATGACGTGTCGTTATTCAACTTGAAATAATGTGCGCCATGATGGCATTCCCTATAAAAGAAAAAGATTTGCGCTACGCAATTCGACGCTAGTTGCCCAAGTAGCGAGGGTTCCTAAATGTTCACGCAAGCAACTGGCATCCAATCAGGAGCTGGAAACTGGAGTTTGTTAGAGCCGATGGGAGCTTGCATTCTTCCCAGAAATCAGATCCCAAAATGGCGTCATAAGGCCATTATTTATTCTGTAGAAAGATCCTTGTAAGCTCTGCAAATTACAATCTACAACAAATGTCGCGGGGAAGCAAAACTCTGCCTGTTTTCCATACAACCAGTCCTGATAACTTTTTAGCTACAATCAGAATTACAACTTACAAAGGTATAAACTGAAAAGTTTTTGTCAGCGGTATTAGTAAACAAACAATGTGAGAGGAGTAACCAAGCAGCTCGCGGAAAACATACAAGGTACAGAAAAGCAAAGCTCAACATAACCGGCGGGCGGTCGGAATTTCAGGACCAATTACAACATGTGTCACGACGGCAGTGCCACAGAAGTGTTGCACCGGAGACTCCAGGTATACGACGCCAGTCCCTTTTGTTTCCATATCAGAGTGCTGGAAACATCTGACGAGAACAACACACATTGAGGGTTATGGATGATGATTAGTTACCTTGTAGTAGACCAAACAGACAGCAGCAGCAAAAGCAGAGAGAACATGTTCCTACTTCATAGACAACGGGGGGCGACTCCGGGACATTGCGGGAGTAGCCGGCTTTGATCTACTTGAGACTAGCCTTCCAAGCATACACAACTAATCTGCCACAAGAGTACCTGTGAACTTTGCTGGAGACTTTCTGGTCTCATACTAATGAGCTCGCCAAAGAGAGCTCATGTATTTCAGTCAGCGTCCACTCTTCTCCAGTTTGTCCTCCAAGAACTATTGCCTTTGATCCTTCCATGACACACGTACTGTGTCCCCATGCAAACCTCGGAGGTCGCCCTGGAACGTTCAGTATTCTCCAGGTAGGTTTCTCTTCGGTCGGATCTAAGAGGTAGAGCTGTGAAGCGGAATGAAGACCTGCTACCGAGCCACCAAATATCATAATTCTCCCTCCGGGAAGGCTCACGGCAACATGGTCAAGGCGAGGAGGCGGACCAACTCCAGCGGGGTTGCAGGCTCCAGGCATTCCGCTACCGGTGATGCACCGCCAGGACGGCGCAGCATCACTCAAGTCCATTGTGAACACATCACCAGACCTGAGTCGCAAAGGGCCGCTTTTGGCAAGGCCACCAAACATCAGGATTTTCCGGCCATCGTAGACAGAGAGCGAGTGCCCCAACCTAGAAGGCGGAGTCCAAGGTGCAGGTATCTCCCTCCAAACAGGCCTTTCCATTGTCACATCCAAAAGATGAGTATCACTGAGGAGCACACCAGAGTCGGCACAGCCACCAGAAACCACCAGCTTCGATCCATCCAGTGTGCAAGAGCTATGCCATGACCGTGGAACCGGTGGTGTAAGGCCAAAAATCTCACGCCATGTAGGATGTTTTGCATCCAAATCCAGAATAAACACATCATTGAGCAGGCCCTGGCCTCCACATCCACCAAACAGAACCAACAGCGATCCATTTAGGCATGACAGGGTATGGCCCCAGCGGCCAGGAGGAGCCAACCCCACATTGACGTGCCTCCACTCTGGCTTGCTCGCACTCAAATCCAGCACAAATGTATCATTCATCGGCTGTGCGTTAACACCTTCCCCACCAAACAGGACAACACGGTTTCCTACAGCACAAGCACTGAAGTTACAGCGAGATGGCTCCACTGAACCCCCGATCGTCAATTTCTTCCAGGTGACGGCTTCCAGTGTAGTCAACTCCCTCGCTAGCCGTCCCCATGCCAAACTTTTTGTGCCAGCCACATTCTCAAGAGCCCGAGTTGCGTCGTTGCCCCATGCATTCTGACAAACCATTCTCCAAAGGTGATCATTCTTTGTCATGTGATACAAACGTTTACATACAGAGTTTACAGATGCTATATCCCTAGGTGACAATCTTGATAGGATCTTCTGGCACAGTACCTCATCGCTCAGTTGGAAGAGATGAGAATACTCAGAGCAAAAGTTACCCTTCCCTGTTGGACTTGGCCGTAGAGTATTATCTGGTGTAATCCATACTGATCTCACAACTTCCTTTGCCATAGAGCCAGGCAAAGGCCCCAAATCAACATTACAATCGTTGAAGAACTGAATGCCCATATAATGGGTTATTGTTTCGTCATCTCCATATATGGGCTTTAGTTGCAGACTCGTCATAAATGGAGAACCATCTTTCCTAAAATTCAGCAGATCACCCTGGAACTCAGTTCCTTCTTCTAAGCATCTCTGAATCTCAGTAACTACTATAGCATCAACAAGGGGATGTCTCCTCTGAGCAAATGGTCCTCTGCATTGCAAAAACCGGCTGCAGAAAAAAATACCAAAACAATTGTCAATAACAGAGGTAAACTAAGCAAAGTAAAATGGCGAATGTAACATGTTCAACTAAGTTACATGATAACTCAAAATCGAAATCAAACGTTGAGAAATTGACCAAATATAGTATTACATTAGCAAAGATGAAATGTATCTTGGTGTTGCTAGCAAGTTGATTAATAGCTCGACTATATGTTCTATTTCTTTTATTTCTGTCCATGATGGTATGATAAGTAATAACGTCAGCAAAACAAGTTATGCTCAGGAGCTCCTCACGACTTCACTATTTAAACACCCAAAAATGAGTTGTCTTAACTACTTTAGCCCCCATAACACTGAAGACCACCATTAGTTCAGCCACCTCTACCAAAGCTACCACTATTATCTTGCATAAACAACATAGGAGTGCATATGTGTATCCAGACAACTTCTAAACAGTTGTATCAGTAGAACAGTTTACAGCGCTGAACGATCTAATGGATTTTGTTTACCTTCCTCTAAAACATTTGATGTTCATCTAATCCTGCCTTGTGCACACACACATTACTTGTAAAAAGAACTCTTGTATATCAGGCAGAGAGCCTTTAACCAAGTATTAGTTACTGTTTCAGCTTTTACATTGACGTTTCATTATTTAATTTATTCTAACAAGAGAAATATTTTTGGAACAGCATTATGATGTTTTGTCAAGTGAACACCGTTTCATGAACATATAGCCACATCTCTCAAACATCATCAACCACAAACTCTGATCATTTTCCTTTCTGCTCGGCTTTGTTAAATAATAATTAGACCTGATGCTAAATTGGTGATCCTTCTTACTGCTTCTCCACATAGCATAACATTTTCAAACCTAAGACAGTTGACTAGCTGAATATTTAATCTTAGACCACACTTCCAGCAAAAAAAAACTGATAGAGTTAACTTTTTTCAAAATAGAAGGTCACCAGCCAGGGAAGTGCTACTAGAGGAAGGGCAAGTAAAATTAAAGGTAGTGTTAAAAACTAAGAGTTGATTATAGAATCCACAAATATTCTAGTTATTTCACACTATTTAAACTCAAAGAGGACTGACATCCTAATAAAAAGCAGACAGGTGTTCCATCCTAAATCAATTTCCAATGAATAATTAAGAGGAGCGCAACACCTGAAGACAAAGATAACTCATCATAGAAGTGCAACCATATAGTAACTAACTGGTTAGTTTTTGTTGGAGGAGAAGAGCAGATAGACAGCTAACCAACCACATATCACTTTAATTGTTAGTATGATCTCTTTCTGATGCTTCTGATGCTTTAAGTAATTAACATTAACATCATGATTCCAGTTGATGGTTTTTCCGTGTCAACAAAGCCCTTAACTGGACTAAAATACTCTGGACTCCTAACTACGATATGGCTTCCTTTACTGTTCTCAGTGGGGAATTAGATGCATGTTCTCGGAGACTCAGAGTGGAGCTAGATGTGTGTATCTCTTTCATCGAAATTCACCTAATATGAATCACTGAAAAATAAGTATTCATGGGCCCAACTGCAGCACCCACAAACAAACGGTGACTCATGTCTCTCACTAACCATCTGCCTCATTTGACACTGATGGTATCAGCACCAAACAGAATATATATACTAGTATACACTAACTAATTTTGTAAAGCAAAATTGAACTACTAGTTCCTGCTCTTTATTCCACTAAATCACTTTCAATCCAATACCTAGAATTAGCAGCATGTACTCAGAGTCAGATCCCCCACAAAACGTAAACCAACACCACCCACACACCCATGGCGTGTCGCCAAAGCTCGAACTCGCCGCATGCCCGAACCATAACTAATACTCTGACTCCTAACTACAATATGGCTTCCTTCACTGTTCCCAGTGGGGAGGTAGATCTACGTTCTCAGTGTGAAGCTAGATGTATGTATCTCCCTCATTGAAATCCATCAAATACAAAGCACTGAAAAGTAAGCGATCAGGGGCCCAATTGTAGGGCAAACAAACCGTAAGCTCGTCTCCCTCTATAACCATCTCCCAGATTTGACACAGATGGTGACGAATCACCAAACAGAATATATATACTAGTATCCGCCTAACTAATTTTGATTGCAAACAAATTGAACTACGAGTTCTGCTCTATGTTCCACTAAATTAGTTCCAATCCAGTAACCAGTATTATAGCAGTATGTACTCAGATCCCCCACAAAAAGCTAACCACCACCGCCCGCGCCATGGCGTGTGGCCGTCCAAAGTTTGAATTCGCCGCAAGCCCAACCCGTAATTACTCACAGAAGGCAAAATCAGCAGGCTGAAAGGCAGAGGGGGGCACTCACCAGTTCCTCGCGAGCACCTGAATAGTAAGTGTTCTACGGGCCCAATTGTAGCACAAACCGGTGGGATCGTCTCTCTCAATAACCATCTCCCTAATTTGACACTGATGGTGATGAATCGCCAAACAGAATATATATACTAGTATCCGCCTAACTAATTTTGATTGCAAACCAATTGAACTACTAGTTCCTGCTCTAAGTTCCACTAAGTCAGTTCCAATCCAGTAACTAGTATTATAGCAGCATGTACTCAGATCCCCCAAAAGCACCAACCAACGCCGCCCGCGCCATGGCCGGCCGAAGCTCGAATTCGCAGCACGCCCAGACCGTAACTAGTCACGGAAGACAAAATCGGCGGGCTGAGAGGCAGGGGGGCACTCACCAGTTCCTGCCGAGCACCTCCTCGGCGTGGTACCCGGTGGCGTCCTCGAAGCCGCGGTTGACGTAGATGATGGGGAAGTCGGGCTCGAGCGCGTCGGACACGACGAGCCCGCAGGCGCCGCCGAGCACGCCCTCGATCGCCAGCGAGAACCCGCCGCCGCCCCGGCACCCATCCGCGCCCCACGGCCCGGCCCCCTCCTCCCCCTCCTCCTCCTCCTCGTCCTCCTCCCCGCTGCCGTCCGAGTCGCTGTCCCACTCCATGGCCCGCCGAGAGCCCCTACCTATCCCATGGCGCGCGCGCGCTAGGGTTGGCTCCTCTCTCGCTCGCTGCTCCTCCGCTGACGCCGCTGGGGAAAAGTGGGAGTTCGTTGGGGGGTTCGATTTAAATAGCCGGATTTAATCTGGGGGAGGAGGGGGTGCGAGGAAGAAGACGAAGCAACGAGTGGACGGACGACGCGGGGGCGGGGGCGGGCGCGAGCAAGTGGAGGTCGACGAGAGGACGTGCGGGGTTTGGTTTGTGGGGGCGAGAGGGCGATCTCGGCCGTCCGAGGGAGGGATGGACGGCGGTGATGGGAGGCCGGGCCGGCGTGCGCTGGCCGGTGGTTCTCTGGCCACCCCCGCTGAGCTGAGCACAAGGGACGGGGACGGGGACAGGGTGGTGCGACCGGATGGCTGAGTGCTGGTCTTTTCTTTTAAAGGGCCTCCTGCTGTATCACACTCGCTCACTGTAATTCCATGAAATTGTACTAGTTGGTTTTATGTTTACACAAATTGTTTTATGATTTTTGTGTTTGTTGAGCTTTAGAGGTAAGTTTGGAACGAGGCGGAAGCAGCGGTGATGCGCGGTGGAGATGATGTGGTGGCGAGGATGAACATTCACGGTGCGGGAGTTAGAGGCCGCTGGTTGGGCTGGGCTGGAGGACGAATCACCAGAGGTTGAGCTGGCGGTTTACAAAGAGGATAAAAGTCGTTGGGTTCCAGACTCGTCCAAATTGATTGTGTTTGGCGTGTTTTCGGGCGACTATCGTATATGCAACCGCCTAGCACTATCCCCTGTCGTGCAAGACGTGAAATATCAAATGTGCCATCTTCTAAGTTACCGGCGTCACACAAAATGAAGCTCTCTCATGCGTCGGGCCTGTAGGGGGTCTTGCGGGCCATGGCTGTAAGGCTCTAGGCGTTATTTTCCTCGTTTGGCTGGCTGGCCCACCTACCAGTTAATGCGTGGATTTATTTTTCCTAGGGCTTTTCGGTCCCACATGTTGTTGTGGTTGTGTTGGAAGGTGGATGAGTTCACGGAGTGGGTTGTGCTATGTGACGGCGAGGACAAAGGTGGAGGATGCACTGACAAAGTGGTAGTGCGGTAAGAGGCAATTTCTTAGGGTAGCCGACTCCCTCCGACCCCCGGGCCACCAAATTCCTACTCGTCTCATCTCCCCTTACACAACTGCTGTGGCATCATCGGCCTGCACGCATACACATCCACTGTGCTTCTCTGCCACTCCTCTAAGAACAAGGGACAGGGACATGGTAGTGCGACCGCATGGTTGAGTGTTTTTCTTAAATGGGCTTTGTTGTATCGTAGTCAACCGCAATTTCGCGAAATCATAGTCCGGTTTTGTCATCACATATATGTATTGTTCGTGTTTTGTGGTCATCGAGCCAAATAGTCGGACAATATGTAGCGGAGGCAAGTCTAGACCGAGCCAAAGGCTGTGAAAGATTTGAAGTGGAGATGACATCAAGGATTAAGATTCGCAGGTGGGGTTAGGGGGTCTGAATTGAGACATCTACGTCGGAGAAGACGGCGAGGCGCTGCAGGGTTAGAAAGATGACCTAGGCTAGCGGTAAGATGGTGGCTACAGGAGGACAATGCATTGAGGCAATGTGGTAGCGGTGCTAGCCATGAATGGGAAGGGCGTTGGTTTGGCCTGATGGGAGAGCGGCTAGACATAAAACTCATGGTTGAGCAAGAAGATAAAAGTCATTGCATTTTAACTCATCCAAATTGATTGTGTTTAGATGCATTTCAAGACAACTATTGTATATGTGCAACATCCTAACATTATTTTTCGGTGTGGCAAAAATGTGAAACATATGGTACGTATTCTGCTTTTCAAATAAAGATAGAAGGCGTTTAATACCACACGATGTGGCAGCCCGGATGACTGAGACTACACATGATTTCACAAATGTTTTTTTAAATGGGACTACGGTGGGCTTATGCCTACCTAAACACTTTCATTCCAAGCCACAAGGGGTACCAAACAAGTTCACAAGAAGATTTATGAGGAGAAAATGGAAAATAAAGGTTCCAAGAAAGTAACAACATCGTTTTAATATATTGTGATGTATTAACGTAAAATGGTCATGTGCTCTCCTTTTATTCCCACGACGCGGCACCTAACCCATGCAGGAGGTGTTCCAATGGATCATGAATTGGCTGGACGCATCTACGCCATCTACTTTCCTCTTTTTTTACGGTTAGCGAGCTGGTGTATATATTTTATTTTATTGATTTCCTGCGGTGAGTGAACTGAAATTAGTCAGCCGGTGGCGTATGCAAACATGTTGACAGAGTTCAAAGCACACTTGGTTGGTCTAAAACTGAAAAGGTGGATAAAAGGGGTGTGGCTCTAGCGTTTCCTCCACTATGTCTTGTAGCTAGGGCGAACTCTCCTCTTCAGGCTTCACCGGGGAGCACGTGGATTTATCTCCCGTTTGCTTGTCGCTCCGGCGATCAGTGGCAGAAGGGGAATCCCGGTGTCTTTGCTCCGGTTAATAGTTTATGTTAGAATTTTAATCCTCGTTGGTGTGGTGTTCAGGCGGATGACGGTGCTTCTTATTTGAATTTGTCCTCAAGGCTCTAGTTCTCCTCGAGTCCGTCCGTCTGGACGTAGTCGACGGAGTTCCAGTAGATTCCTGTCGTCTCTTTTGAGCAGTGAGGTTGGCGTTTCTGTATGACGAGATTTGATGTTAGGTGCTTCAGATCTATTCAAGAGTTCAATGGCGACTGCAGTTTCAGGACGTTGGTTCTTAGAGGCATGTGCATGAAAACTTCCCGGCTATCATCGACAAGGTCAAGCCGGTTCTAATAGGGGAGCGGCGACAACGGTCGTCGACAACTCGTTCGACGGCGGTAGTGGTCGTTGGGTCCTCGAAATATCGGTGTAATTTTATATTTTCGATGAACTTTTATAATGGATCTGGATTCTTTAAAAAAACGAAACAGTGACAATGGGCGCTACCTACTTGGAAAATGACAACATGTAAAATACGTTTATATGAACATCTAGCGAACTCCTTTAAAAAGTGTGTACTGGACAAAAAAGGAATTTACATTCTTTTTTTTTTCAAAAAAACTACCTAAGTACATCAATTATATAGAATGCATACCTTTTTTATGGCTCGTGCATATTTCTGCAAGGTTTTTCTGCTAAGTTGGTGTACGGTTTTATTTCACATTTCAAAGCACACCTACATTTTTTTACATCATTATTGCCTATTGAAGTTTTTTAATTTTTTTTAAACGGAGGCAAAAGCTTTGCCTCATCTCATTAAAAAGAAGGGGTAACAAAGTCTGCAGAGGGTCATTACACCTCACACAAATGAAAAAAATACAGTCCTACTCTCGCGGCATCAAAGAACCCAAATGCTTCGCCCCTACGATAATCCAGAGCCTCGCCTCCACTTTAATAGCCTCGACTAACACTCTTGGCAACCTACATACATGCTCGAACACCCTCGCGTTTCTCTCTTTCCACACTTCCCAAGTAATAAGCATGATGAGTGATGAAATCGCCTTCCTCCTATGTCCACGCCTAAGGACCACTGCCGACCACCACTCTTTGACTATGGCGGGATCCCGTTCCAGGCCGCCACATCCAGTTCAGGGGCATCCACCCAAACTCTGATTGCATTCCAAATGCGGGCAGAGAACCTGCATTGGAAGAGAAGGTGAGTTGTGGTCTCTGGCTCCCTCTTGCAAAGTTGACACAAATTGCAGTTGGGCCACCCTCTTCTTTGCAGTCTGTCGGCCGTCCAAATTCTATCCTTGATAACTAGCCATGCAAAGAACTTGCACTTGGGCGGAGCCCAGTTCTTCCACACCATCGTGGTCATGTTGGGGGCGATCGCACCCTCGAATTGGGCCCTATAGGCCGAGGTCGAGGAATAGATACCGTCGGCGGTGAGGTTCCACTTGATATAATCGGGTAGGTCGTCCTATAGGTGTACCATAGTGAGCTTCCCCCAAAGGGCGCAGAACTGGTCAATGTGTTCCACCGAGAGACCTCCGGACATGTTGATCCATTGGATCCAATGATTTTCAAGCAAGGCTTCTCGCACGGACTTGTTCTTGTTGGCAGAGATCGCGAAAATGGTCGGTGCAATGTCCTTGGGCTTCGTTCCATCTACCCATGGGGAAAGCCAGAAACGTGCCATCCTACCGTCGCCGACAGAGATTGTCGTGGCAGCATATGATAGATCTCTGTCAGTGGTGTCGCATGGGTTTCCGATGCCCACCCATGTCCTGTGCGGCTCCTTCCACTCATACCAGAGCCATCGCAGCCTCAGAGCCCGGGCATACATACGAATATCAAGGATACCCAGCCCACCAAGCCTCTTTGGTCTACACACGAGTTTCCAGCTGACTTTGCACTGGCCACCGGAAACCTTATCCGAACCAGACCAGAGGAAAGCTCTCTCA